ATCAAGAGCCATGCCCTGCTGCACGATCAGTTTATCTAGAATCAACATCGTTAGAGTTGCGCTGCTGTTCCCTTGCTGTCCCATCCCACCGGCCGAGTCACCTGTTGCCATACGACACGGTAACGCGGATGCAAACAGCTGCTGCACGTCCTTCCTTCACTTTCAGAGGAAACCAAATCACGCCTCCTATTTCGCATGCAAGGATTCTGCAGAAAGTTCACCTAGTGCACATGTTTGCCTCTCATGTACGTATCTTCAGCCTTCCGTACTATTCATGAGCACATGCAGATTTATCATCCACTCAACTATCTGATGCTTTTCTTTTTCCAATCAACGCATATTAAATCTCGTAGATACCTGCTCATGGAATATTTAGCAACTTTCCCTGTACCCTTTAAACCTCCACTGATTCATCACCATCTTAACCCGTTTTAGTCCATTCATGTTGCGTTAGTACCGTATCGACGAGATCCACGTGTTATTAGCGATGCTAAATGTTTTTGAGGTTTATAATTTAAATATTAAGTTGATGCAACTAGTTTTATAATTGAAATCCATATAGATTTTATACTTCAGTGTTTTATATACAAATATTGATATGATTAATTACTAACATAATCATGTTTCTGAATTATAAATTGCATAGTTTAAACATGCGTCATATATAATTCGAATAGATGTTCCCACATATTATTTTATCTTGCAAAATTAAAGTTTAATTTGCTTAATTTATACGGCAACATTTATAAATAAAATACGATTAGGTTTAACTTGGTTTTTGAATAAAAAAATTTGACTAATCTGAATTAATATGATTTTCCTTAATTAAAATAAATCAAGATTGTAACTGTTTCTTTTATAATATAAAACTCCAGGTAGCCGATTCTTTTCAACGATAGTTCCGTTCTCGGCGTTTCTTATGGTCTTGTGACCGTAGCGACAAGCTCTCTTTTAGTATGTTGTTTTTCTCTCGTGTGGTGAATTGTTCTTAGTTGCTTTTATTTGTTGCTTGTATGTTTGCCTATGTGTGGTGCTTGCTATGAGTAGAACGGGAATCATTTGTGAGCGATGAAGATCGGAAGGTGATAACCAGAAGCAAATTATGAGGAAGTTTGATTAAGTGTAAAAGGCAAGTATAGCATAGGACCATCCTTGTTACCTATTCACCTTTAATCATTTAATTCATATTGCATGTGTCTACCTTGACTACCACTAAGGATATCCTAGTATTTTGTACTTATACCTTGTTACCTTTGGGTTACTGCATTGGGTAGCTTTGCTAGTGCTCAACTAAAGCCATGATCTTGTAACTTGACTAATGAAATATGCAATAAACATTAAAAGATGATTTTTAGCAACATGGAACAAGAGGGCTAGAGCATTGGGCTGTTTTTATGGTGCTCTAGATTCCTTTCCCTAAGGACTTATCTGTAAGTGATCATCCGGGACTTATAGTACAACTGTGAGGGCTATATGGCTCTGGCTTTAGTTCAGTATGAGGACCTTTTCTAGCTTGCTAGTGGTTACCTTTATGGCGCAAGAGGGGTGTGTTCCGGGTTAGATATAGTGCGGCATCTATCCGCCAGTGTATAGGCTGCGCGTCATTGTGCCTGTTGGAAGGGAAGCTCTACATTCGTAGGCCACAGAAACCTAGCGGCCCTAACTTGTTAGACGAACCTTTGAAAGGCTTCATAGTGAACCCTGTCGAACTTCCTTGGTAGTAGGTCAAGAGGCTGATCACCTCGGGCGAAAGGGTAAATCACGACTCACAATGAAAGTGTACAACCTCTGCAGAGTGTAAAACTGGTATATCAGCCGTGCTCACGGTCACGAATGGCCTTGGAACCCTTACGGAATAGATGATGAACACTGATGATATGGATGATGAAGATGCTCACTAATGGTTAATTGTTTATGCTATTCATTACTCATGTTTACCTGATCATGTGTTTATGGGCTTGTGAACAAACTTGTTGCTACCCAATTGCTAAAAGATGACTCATTAAAAGCTAATCGCAGTTAAACTAGTGTCAACCTTTTGAGCCTCATGAACCCCATGTTATATTTGTTGAGTACGACATGTACTTATGCTTGCTTTACTTTTCAATACTTTGAAAAAATCCCGGATGGGTACCAGATTGCTAGAGTTTGGAGGAATTAGGCTTGTGATCAACCAGTCAGTTGTCCATGTGGATTTAGAGCCTTCGCCTGAAGATCGGAGTCGTCTTTCCGCTGTTTATACTCTAAGGTTATGTTCTTTACACTAATACGTTATGTATTTAAGCATTGTCTATTGATATTACCCTTATTTATAGTTATATGTGAGATTTGACTTCCTGGGCTCACATATGGTGTGTATCTGGTTTTGTTCTTAAAATTGGATGCTACAAATATATGAAACATACACATAGAACCCATATGACAGCGCGGAGCTCGATGCCCATGGTCACCCGTCACTAGAGCAGCAAATAGCACATGCACATGCGGGTCCATGCTCCTCTCACGAACTCCCAATGTCGAGTATTCTCTCTTTTATCACCGCACATGCACAAGCCCCACACGTAGCATGGCACACATAGAGACGAAGGCGGGTGGACCTCTTCCTGTGCTCTTGACCGAACTTATTATACGCTTTGGATGCTTGCTCGCGTCATCAAGACCCTGATCCCCACGCCGAGCAGAGTGGTCGCATGCGCTCTCGTGCGCTAACCCGCGGAAAGGAGAGGCTTTTACCTGTGTACCCTTGAAAGCTCTAGTTTGGTTTTGGTGAATTGATGAAACCCTAAGTGCTAACCTAGTTTATCAAGTGATCATGAGATAGGTAGCACACTCCAAGTGGTGAAGCAAATGAAGATCATAGCATGATAAAGATGATGGCATGGTGATGATCAAGTGCTTCGACTTGGAAAGAAGAAAGAGAAAAACAAAAAGCTCAAGGCAAAGGTATAATTGGTAAGAGCTATTTTGTTTTGGTGATCAAGACACTTAAAGAGTGTGATCACATTTAGGATTGATAGCCGTACTATTAAGAGGGGTGAAACTCGTATCGAAATGCGGTTATCAAAGTGCCACTAGATGCTCTAACTCATTGCATATGCATTTAGGATCTAGTGGAGTGCTAAACCCCTTGAAAATGTTTGTGAAAATATGCTAACACTTGTGCACAAGGTGATACACTTGGTGGTGTTGACACATTTACAAAGGAGGTGGATTCGGCGTTTTTGGAAAAATGGAATGCCTATTTTCTATTGCGCCGGATGCAAATTCTTGTGGTTGGCACATTGGAGCAAGGGTAAAGAAGTTAGAAGTGAAAACGAGTTGATCGCGAAGACGCTGGCGTCGGTCTTCTGACCGGACGCTGGGTCTGAAAGCACCGGACCCTGGCTGCGTGTGTCCGGTCAAACTGATGGGTCTGCGCAGTGCCGAGGGTATTGCACCGGACGCTGATCTGTGTCCGGTCAAGGTGGACCGGACGCGTCCGGTCGAAGAAATACGCCTCGGGGAGCTTACTGGAAACGACCGGACGCTGGGGCTTCAGCGTCCGGTCAGTTTTACCGAAGCGTCTGGTCAACTACGTAGCCGTTGAAATCGGGTGATCGGCGTTTGAAGCCAATGACTCGTGGCGCTCATCGCACGACCGGACGCTGAGGTCCAACGTCCGGTCAATATGACCGGATCCAGTCATCCCGTGTTCAGCCCAGTGAAGGGGTACAACGGCTCTATTTCACTGGGGCTCTATTTATAGCCCCTTGGCCGGCTCAAGCTTACTCTTTTGGCCATTTGCATTGACATAGCAACCTTGTGAGCTTAGCCAAAGCCCTCCCACTCATTTCCATCATAGATTAAACATCTTTGTGAGATTGGGAGAGAATCCAAGTGCATTGCTTGAGTGTTTGCATCTAGAGACACTTGGCATTCGTGTTTCGCTGCGGGATTCGCTTGTTACTCTTGGTGGTTGCCGCCACCTAGACGGCTTGGAGCAGCGAGGATCGTTGAGCGGAGGGTGGTGATTGTCTTCGGCTCCGATCGTGGTGATTGTGAGGGGTTTTTGACCTTTCCCCGATGGAGCGCAAAAGGTACTCTAGTGGATTGCTCGTGGCTTGTGTGATCCTCATCTTATGTTGGTTGTGCGGCACCCTATTGAGGGTTTGGCGTGTGAAGCCAATTAGCGCGTGAACCTCCAAGTGAGTGAATCACCACAATGTGGACTAGCTTGCCGGCAAGCAAGTGAACCTCGGTAAAAAATCATTGTGTTCATCATTGATTCCGATGTGATTGGTCTTCATTGTTATCCACACTTGTGATTGACTGCTTCATACATCTACACGGCGGTATAACCTTCTTGCCTACTCTTTACATTACCGCAAACTAGTTGTCAAGCTCTTTAGTGTAACTAGTTGTGAGAGCTTGTTAATTTGGTTAGTGTGGCTCTTTAGTTAGCCTTTGAGAGCACACTAACTTAGTGTAGTGATATAGCTATTGTGTGGATATACTCCATCTAAACTAGAATTGTGGTAGGTGGCTTGCATTTTGGTAGGCTAGCACAAAACTCGCTTCGCCTCATAATTGTCTAATCCTTTTGTTAAGTGTTGTTGAAGAAATTTTATTAGGCTATTCACCCCCCTTTAGCCATTAGGACCTTTCAACCCTTAAAAAAGATGCCACACTCCTGCGTACCCCTCAAAAGTTGGTCGTCACCTATATGCCCTCGCTCGAACTTTTCTTTTCCCTCACGCCATTCCGTCGGCATTTGCTTCTAACGGTGGGTAACGGCTCTGGAGAATGACTCAGTTGCCCTTGAGCTTGTATGGACGTCTGGACTTTTTCGTTTTCCCCTGTGCCATTGCCAGGCCAATTGGCTTTGGCGCCAGAGACGCCGCTGTTGGCGCCAAAGGACAGGGATTTGGCGTCAAAGAGACTGCCCTTCTCCTCCTATATATTGGCGCCAAAGAGCCTGCCCTTCTCCTCCCATTGACTGTCCCAAGAGAAAGTGTGGCAGCTCACACACTTCCGTCATGCCTGAACATTGATAGTCATTATACCATGATGCAAAGACTATATAATTACGGATATACTCTTATATACAGAAGATAAGCCAAAAAAACCTCTTATTCGTGCATACTGTTCAATGACATGGTCCACCATTCCATCAAAGCTTGCAATATAGCCATGGAGACCATATGACATGCCAAAACCAGGATAATCCATAGCATAAACTGCATAACCAGCAGCAGCTATCCTCTTAGCAATCCCTGTAATCTCAAGCTTGTTAATAATAATTAATAAACATGCAGGCAAAGCAATGATAAATGCAAATCAAAACATAACGGAACAAGTAATGTCACCTTCAAAAAAGAAAGTGCAGGTATCCCCATATCCATGGCAGAAGAAAAGTGCAGCCTTAGTTGCAGTGCCCTCTCTTGGCAGCCAGCTCTTCCAGAATATTTCAACGCCCTTTGAATTGGTCTCGTAATTCTACAGTAACGAGCAGTATCTATCAATACCCAAAGCAAGGAAAGAAGCTCTTGAATCATTTAATGGTCATGGTTGCCCGTGCCACTTTATTTCAGCGAGGGAACTACTTGAACGTTGAACAAAATGGAATGCAAGGTCAATTCAGAAATCCCATCATGCCCGTACCTCTTCCATCTGGATTTCCTTGGGAGCCATCTGCAAAATGAAAAGTAGGACACAGAAAATGAGAAAAATGGGCCAACTGATATCATATGAACCAATATTACAAGGATACCAAATTAGCAATTGGAACTCAATAACAGATGCAAATGGTTCATCATGTTCTCAGAAGGGAAAACTAGGAAAAGTTCTACTCTTATTAGCATGGGCTGGCGTCCGGGCTCCTGACCGTTCTGTTCTCTCGCAAAAAAAAAAGGTTCACTTTTTTGTGTCATATTCCTATATTAATTGCCATAAACCTGATTGTTGACGACTTGGGTTATACTGTATAGAATTGCATGAGGGTACTGCGAATTGCACACAGAAGAATCGGGCTGCTCATTTCTCGTACTCAATTTGTTGGGCATGCAGCGGATCCTACCAGTTGAGAAAATTCTGCTCGCACCTAAATGAGGTGGCAAGCTCCGCAGTACTGGAAGCGTTCGACCATTTCCCAATAAGTAATTTCGACAACCGAACCTCCGCTGCAGCGTACGAGACCAAATCAAGCTACGAGCGACCAGCACATCGAACCTTGAAGAGGCAGTGGTCGAGGGTGGGGAGCACGGGCGCGAAGGTGGCCCGCACCCGACGCCGCGCGGGAGCCCAGTCCAGGCACTGCGCTGCGGCGGCCCTCAGGTCGTCGCTCGCGCCCTCCAGCGTCCGCTCCCGATGTGCGCCCTTCGCCGCAGCTCCCGCGACCACGGCGGCGCGCCCCCGAGGGCGAGGCGGCGCCACGACGGCAACGCGCGGGCCCGACCCTGCGATCCGGTGCGAGATCGCCGTCACGTGAGGAGGCATGCGTGCGGTGTGCCTGCTCGGCCGGCTTGTCGATCGGGGCTGTGCGATGGCACGTAGGTGACGACCAACTTTTGAGGAATACGTAGGAGTGTGGTATCTTTTTTTTAAGGGTACACAGGTAAAAATCTCCGGAAAGAATGGGTACGCTTGTGACTGCAACAGGCGCCCCTATTTTTTTTTCTTGATCATAATAACCAAGCGTTTTCGTTAATTTTTTTTTCTCTGTAGAGCTTCGGCGCTTCCGGTTCGTAAAAAAAAAGACTATATTTTTACAAAATTACATGTCTGCGTGTCCTGGGCCGACTTGGGCTGTCCTATTTGAGGCCCGTTAAATGAAACTAAGCACGGTAGCAAAGCCCGTCACTAGAAGTCGTCGTTCCTGTTGCAGCGGACTGGCCACGCACCTTCTGAATTTTGAAAACGGTCTAATAATGCATACACGTATGTTTCAAATTCGAAAACAAGAGATTTTTATATGTTCATCTGACTAAAAATACAAAAAAAATCTATCTATCTAGCTAACAACTGGTTGTTTTAGCCTCTTCTAACAGCTAGATTTTTTTCATGCACTTATATTAGCTTATAACTATATATACACCGCCTTATTACTATATTTACGATGATTTCTTCGGTGTAATTTATTGGACAGAGTGGTGTAGTTATCAAATTTTTCGCAAGTTCTTTAGAAATTTCAACAAAATACAAAATCTAGACAGGCGGGCCCATCCCCGGTGCCGTCGCAGGAGCGCAGCTGCAGCCACTTGAGGCTCCCGCACCGCCGCCACAGCCATCCAAGCCCGCGGTCGCCGGAGCGGATGCCGCAAAGCAACAGCTTCTCGAGCGGCAATGCTCCTGCGACCTCGGCCTCGCCGCTGGCTGTCATCTAAGCTCGAGCCCGCGGAGTGAACGCTGACAACTTGAGGCGCGGCAACAGCTTGAGCTAGCAAAAGGATAGGGGGCGGACTACGGTGAGGTGGAGCGACGTCAGACCGGAGAGCGCAGGGCAGGCGGCGAGCAGCGCGGCGGGGGAGGTCGCCACCGGTACGCCTCCCGCTTCCTGCCGCAACAGACGCGCGGACGGTTCCCAGGCAGCTGTCCGTCCATTATGCATCTAACAGCCCAGAAACCGCATGTTTTGAAGCTCCAAATCATGCGGTTGATGCTTAGCAAATCTGAACAAAAATGGTTTGAAATCGTAAGGAATCAACTAGAGATCTGCTTTTGCTCTTTTCATGAGAGCAATTGTACCAATGCAATCTGTGCCCTGTCAGGCAAACTACATCGAAGAGAACTGTTGCGTCGGACCAAGTAGTCCTGCTTTTTTTTTTTTTTTTTTTTGAGAAGACCGAGTAGTCCTGCTGACTAATACAAACGTAAAAGGAATAACAGTGTTTGGAAATGGAAGAAGTAAAAAGAGACAGCCCACAAAGCCCAATTGCTTTTGTACCAGATATTGACCATTTGATCTTAGGCGCCATGAAGCCCACGAAGCCTGCAGACTAATAGCACATGTCACTTGAATGGAAAAAGTCCACTTTTTCTCCATCAACTTTTGCGAAAGGTCCGCCTTTTCTCTCTGAACTTTAAAATCAGGCAAACCACCTCTCTCAACTTTTGAAACAGTGCGTTTTACCTCCCTGGCCCGGTTATAAGTGGTTTTCAAGGCGGTTTTATCTTTTTCTTTTTTATTTATTTCGGCTGAATCTTTGAAAAATCATAGTAAATCACAGAAAAATCATAAAATAGAAAATCCAATTTTGTTGGACTCCACATGAGTAGATCTACACAGTGAACATATAATATTATATACTTTAGTACAAAGTTTTTGTTATAAATTTTGATCTATTCTTTTTATAATTATTTGGAATAATTCATAACTGTAGACTTTTGCTTCATTACAACTTCTTAGAGAAGTGTTTTTTTCACTGCTGTAGCAAATAGAGGGTTTTTGTCTTTCAGAGATCTTCATAGACAGAGAATTCGCAAAAAAAATATCTACTTTTAGTATCTTCTACGCCTTAAAAACACTCTAAAGTAATCATGTATCCGGTGATACCAAAAACATATACGATTCAATCACAAAGACTATCAAATGTATATAGTATCCGGCCACCGTTCCTGACTGACCTGTGCGTTCAATAGGAACAGATACAAAGTCATGCGTTCAATACGAATAGAAACGAGTCCCGATCCGACACTTAGGGTCAGTTTGGATGTCAAAATTTTTAGCAAAACGCTACTGTAGTGTTTTCGTTTTTATTTGGCAATTAGTGTCTAATCTCCAGCACATTGTATGCAGGCCACTTAGCCCAATCTCTATGGCCGGACCGCGGTAATGGACGAGAATCTGCGCACGCGCCCAGGAACTCAGGTACAGACGTACGTAGGGTACATGCCTACTACTACAACAGCCGAACCATATAGAAATTTGATTTTTTTCATAAAAACTAATAAATATTGCTACAGTTAATTGTTTATTGATAATCAGTTGATTTCATGTCTAGATGTTACATGTCCTATGATATGAAATTATGCAGCAATAAAAATGAATAAATATTTCTACAGTTAATTATTTATTGATAATCATTTGAAAACTTGATTTAACAAAAAAGAGACGCAACAATAGATCTGAAAATAATTTAATTTCCAACAAAAAATCATTTATTAGATTTTTATTATTTCCAAAAAATAATCAAATCTGCTTAAACTTGTATAAATTCAATATAATAAATCGTATACGTATTAAAAAATGGAACAATCCTTTTTAGATTTCTATAAGATAGATCTAGTACGTAACTAGATTTGTAGATTTCCTAATATGTTCGTCTACAAGCCACTGCGTCCTATAGGCGTGAGAAAAAACTTGTGACCCCTGTAGAACACACGGACATATATCTAGTTTATAAGAAAAAATATGACATACTTTCTAGGAAAAAAAATAAAAGGTGAAAAGGTCATGGAACGGCTGACGACGGAACGGAAACAAAAAAAAAGCAAGTGGATGGGGAGACGGACACGGACGTTCACGAAAAATGGGACCAAAAGGAAACGAGAAAAACATACGACGAACGCTGTGAGCCGGTGACAGACGCGAAAACCAAACTAACAGACGCAAGGATGTGAGACGGACATGGTCTCAGAAAATTCACAACGTATTCGGAACGCGCTGGCAGGAAAGTTCAGCCACGCCAAAAACAAAATTGAAATGTCCTCGATTAAATTAAAAAACAGAAAAAACGACCGAAATCAAAAGCTTCCTATTTTTAATATAGATAGAGTAAAGGCACCATGAGGATATTTTGGTATAAACTAGATAAATAACCGTGTGTCGCACGGGGATCATATCTTATGAGTCCATATGTCAATGGCCTTACGAGAGATGTCTAAGATGACAGCCTCGGTGTAGAGATGAAAGAGGGTGCTCTGTCTTAGGGGTGGACGAGAAGGAAGCTGATTCTTACCGCATCTTATGAGGCCACATGTCAACGGCCTTTCAAGAGATGCCCAAGACGACAACCTCAGTGCAGAGATACAAGAAGTTGTTCTGCCTTTGGGGTGGACAAGAAGGAAGGCGGTTCCTACTGCTAGTGCCGGTGGCTGGCGTCGCTTTGGGTAGCCAAGGTGACATGCACACGAATGGTACGGGGAGTCGAGGACGGCGAGCAATAGGGTCGGAGTGGACAACGGAGTCGGTTATCGATAATCCATACTTGTCGGGCATTATCTTCAACATTAAATTAATTTCGATAATTTTTCAGAGGACATATATTTAGTAATAAGATTATTTTAAGTTGAATATGATAATACAGTTTTTAAAGCTTGAAACCAACTTAAAGAAGCTTGATTTAGAACACATGTAACTTAGGCTAAATGAAGCCCACGAAGGCGGAAGGCCAATTGCACATGATCACGTGAATTCTGCCCAATTAAACATCGACGCCCAAGGCGGCAGGGCCCAGGCCCACCACACAAGCCCACACGCAGGCAAGTGTACGTTGGAAGGGAAGAGGCTGACAGCTGTTAAAAGGCAATTGGTAACCACCTGCGGGCCCCCCAACACAATTTCGTCTTCCTGGCTTCGACCGAAAGAGCGGGAAGGGAAGGGAAGGGAAGCAGAAGCAGCCGCGGCGACGAGAGGTGGGCTCTTGAAGCAGAACATGTGACTCATATAATCTTTGTACTAAGCTGGGTGATTGGTGACGTCATTCGAGATGGGAAAAAAATAAACTGCTTATTCTTAGCTATTTGTTAATCAATAATCAATAGCATTACTATTGCTCATTTAGATTAGGTGAAAAGTTGGGTGTTACAGAGGGACCTTGTAGGACTTGGGACAATGACACCATTACGTACGTCATGACCATTGCTGTAATCTTACACAACATGATCATAGAAAATAATGAGTAGGGCCGAATAAGAAGACTTTGACTATGATCAAGATGGTGGTGTGGTGTCGAGCCCGGGGGATACCAGCGATGCGATCTACTTGTGTTGAGTGAATTCTTGCGTACATATAATGAGATTGAAGACCAAACGATGCATGTATACATAATGAGATTGAAGACCAAACGATGCATGAGAGGCTCCGTGATAATTTGGTGGAGCATTTGTGGGCACATCATGGTGTGTCGTAGTGTGGTTGTATTTGACATGCATATTGTTTCAGTTTCTCTTGTTGATGTGGACAATTTGACATTTGAATTTTGACTTTGGAAATTTAAATTTATATTGTGTTATATTATTATGTTAACTCTACGTTGGTTTAAACTATGCAAACACTATATTGTTGGTTAAATTGTGGAGGCTAAATGAAAATCATAGAGGGGCAACATGTATTTGTGAGAAAATAAAATAGGAAGCTTATTTTATTTTAGACAGTCCTGTTGAAGACAACAACTGAAAACAGGACCAATGAAAGTAGGTGGCTACCTAAACAGGAATATAGTGCGCGAACTGATGCTAGATTAGTTGGTTGGGCTCCTTGTGGTGGAACCTGTCCACCCGGGTTTAAGTCCTCGATTTGACATAGGTACTTGCATTTTTCTAGATTTATTCCAGGATTTAACGGCGCTATATTTCCAGTGGCAGGCGACGTCACGTCCCCGTCGACAGCGAGACGCCTATAGTGACTTTGTGAATTTCAAGATCTGCCGGCTCAGTCCTTCAGAGGTGCTCATAGGGGTACTGTTTAATTCTAAAATAAATAAATAAATAAACAGGAATATAGTGCTCTATTTTAGATAGTAGTGCTTGAGTTATTCTAAATCTTCACATGTTTTTTTTGTTCAAACAAAAGGAAAGTTAGTACTAGTATACATGGGGAGCACGGATGAGGACTTTTGTGTAAGCCTATTTATGGTGATGTACATGTGGGACTCCTTATGCCGGCTTATTAGATATTTTTTCTCTCTACTAGTACCAGTGACCAGTGATGATGATGATGGTGTCAAACCAATGTAGATCGAGTGCCAGTCAATATCATATTCAGCATATATGCATGATAGCTACCTTGCCGCTCGATATGAGGAGTGAACTCTTTCTTGCGATGGAGGGAGTAGGCAGGTGGCAGAGAGATGATTATATATTCTCCCGGGCAAAATACCTCACCATTCACCACACACACCAAAGCAGTCCCAAAGCTCGATCCAGGAATGGTGTTGCATGCTGCTCTTTCGATGCACGCCGCAGCCGGACACTACCGCCGCCGCCGGCTATCTTCGCCGCCCTTGCTTCTCGTTGCTTGCCTTGCCGTCCTTGTGCTGCCGCAGCCGAGGCTCTCCCGGGCGGCGGCGACTTCGACGGTGGTCACCCACCTGCCGGGATTCGATGGCCCTCTTCCCTTCTACCTGGAGACCGGGTAAGGCGCCCCCGGCCCGCCGGGCGCCGGGCGCCGGCCGGCTGCCCGTCGACGTCGATGCTCTGCTGCCTGCTCCTGTCCGGCTGAACTTGTATGTACGCGTGACGATGCAGGTACGTGGGGATAGAGGAGGAGACCGGGGCGGAGCTGTTCTACTACTTCGTGGAGTCGGAGCGGAGCCCGCGCACGGACCCCTTGCTCCTGTGGCTGTCGGGCGGGCCCCGGTGCAGCGCCTTCAGCGCACTTGCGTTTCAGATTGGTCAGTGCCTTTGAGTTGTCACAGTTTAGAATATTATTAATTTGACCAAAAATATGATATTAATCAAAAAAATAAAAAATACACCTTTTGATTTTATCATGATCTGTGGTCTAGATTTGATAGATAAAGGGGGTTAATTAAAAAAGAGCAAAAATGCACCGTTGGATTTTATGAAAAATCTAATGGTCTACATTAAACATATATTAGTTAGAGCTATAATAATTTATTAATTAGAAAAAAAACCCCCAATTGGGATATGGAAAACACGACATGACATGATGTCTTTTGGCAATAGGAGTTCTAATCTAATGAATACACTGCTCTCACACGAAATATATAATCGAAAAGAATAAAAGAGCACTCCACAACTTATATATATTAGAACAAAACACTATGCCGAATACAATTGACAAATAGTAAATTTGGAATATTAAATGAGAAAAGTTGCAATTTATATATAAGTTAGAAATTAAAAAAAAATTGTGGGGGCTTCGCTTGACCACCTACCCGTGCTAAGGAATAGCGCGGAGGAGGGCCAGGTTGTCCCACAGGGAAAGAAAAGCGAGGGTTCAAAGGGTACCGGACGGAGCATAACGATAATAAATTCTGGAGTAAACGACCATTAATTTATTTTCCTTTACTACCCATCGAGTATTTATAGGGCATACTCGGGGCGCGATGAAATTACAACTTGCCCACAACCAGCCAAGCACCACTCTCCACTGGTACGGGGGTGTTACTGTCTTCTCATCCCTACGTCCCAACTACTACTCTATCGCCGTCCGGAGTTCTGCTTCTGGGATCCGCAACTTTTCCGTTCTCCTTCTGTCGTAGACAGAGTTGGTGTTGCGAAGGTTTCCTTCGGCCCGGATGGCCTCGCCAAATTGTGCCTGGCCTGCAAAGACAGAGAATCGGTGTTACCTTCGCCAGCGTTCGCAGGCGAGAGCCCGCGTTACGCGACTGGTTGCACCCATATGCTCATGTAGAGCGGGGCCAAAAACCAGTCGAGGGTCTAGTGCACCCCCCCACCCACCCACCCACCCCACAAAAATAGCTAAATAAAGAGTCCATGTAAAACAAAGTTAGCAAAAGCAAAAGGAGATATTCAACTAGAGGGGATCTAGAAATTACGAGATTAATCAAAAAAAGAAAAAAGAATATGCACCATTTGATTTTTTTTAATGATAAATAGTCTAGATCTAACCAAATAAGCCATGCTAAATAAGGTCTAGATTTAACCAAAGTCACTAAATTCGGAACGGAAAAATATAGAAAAGTAATAATTTATGTGACCAAATCAGTCTATGTACATGTTTCAGGATTGTATGCTCTCATGGCAGACGTCCTGTCCACCCACACAAGCATCTTCCCGTCGTCAAGAACCACCAGCGGATAATGGTATTTATTGTAGGGACACGAAGGCTCGTCCTCCCCAAACGGCGTGCGCTGCAACGTGTACCGTCTGGTCCAGTGCGGCGCCGTGTCGTCGTTCATGTCTTCCAAGAACCAGAGCTCCGTCGAGCAGTCCTCGACGTCGCAGTAGAGTACCACCAAGCTGTCGCCCAACCTGACCAACTGAAATCGTTCCCTCAACGTTGCAGTATAGTACCACCAAACAGGACGATACGGCATGGTGGGCTCGTCGTCTTCCCCCTCGATGTCTGTGCTAGCTAGAACGCGCGCTGCTGCTCAGGGGCCCTTGGAGCGTCGCCGGCTTTCACTCCTCCGTCGCTAGGTCGAACACTGCTATACCATCCGCCTCCACGTCGGGTTGGTTGTCTTCCGTGCTCGGGCGCACCAGGAAGTAGGTGAGCGCGGCGAGGCGGCGACAACTGTCATGTTCCAGGATCGGAGCTGGACCAGGGCTTAAGAGTGACCGGAAGGCGCGGTCTCCGTCTCCACCTTCTGGCACCGCCACCGCCGCCCAGTGTCACGACCTCGCACGTCTGTTGCTGCCGTCTGCTAGAATAATCTGGTTGGATACGGAGCACCTTGCACTCTCCGGTGCCCGAGAACGCAATATGGCGTCGCTGAGTTGACCTTCCTCCGGTGCTCAGCGGCCACGTCCATGACCTCACCAGTGACCATGTCCAGCATGCAGGTCAGGACCCAGCCATGCGAGGAGCAGAGGCGCTCGCCATGCATGCTCAGGCGGCCGACGGGTCGTCGTATCCGCCTCCGCTTGATGACGTTGTCGTGTAGGTCCACGGCGTGGACCTCTGCTGCCTCGTCATCATGGTTGCCGACGTGGTGGTGGACGACGATGACGTGCGGTGCCGGGTGGCGCGAGGCGTGCGCCCTGGCCCTGGCGAAGAGCGGGTCGGACGTCAGCGACCGCCACTACCGGCACACCAACCGGAGGCGGCACACCTCGCCCGCGGGAAGGCGTAGCAGGATGTCGTGCAGCACGTCCGATGGGCAGCGCACCGAGCTTGGCAACGGCAAGTGGTGGAGCACCTGCATCGGCGAGTTCAGTCGTTGTACGAAACAAAATACATAGATTGATTTGCTGGTGGTGCAGGTGCATATTACCGGCTGGTCTATTTGAGTTGGTTGAATCCATGATCGAGTGTGTGGCCAATACGAATTAATTTTATTTGAGTAAAATGCACCAACGTCCCTCGACCGATGTGTCATTCAGGTCCCAAACTCATTTTTTTTAATTTCTGGGTCGCTACACTTGTTTTGGGTCTCACCAGCTGTCCAAACGGATGCTCGCCCGACCTGTTATCCTACGTGGCGTGCTGATTCACACTTGACATGGAATCTAACATGTGGGGCCCACGTGTCAGTCGAACATTTAAGTTCCTTGTCGTCCTGCTCTCCACGGCGAGACAAAACAACACCGCCGCCGTAGCTGGCTCTTGCTCGGCCAGCTCCGCGTGGCGCTTCGCCTGCGCGCGGACCTTGTCCACCGCCGCCTTCTCCGCCACAGCATGCCGCAGCTGCTCCAGCACCTCCTCCTCCTTCTCCCTCGCTGCGGCAAGCACCTCGTCGCCGCACTAGCCCGAGTCCCCGAACCTCTCCCGCCCTGACCGTCCGGTATGCGATGCGGCGCGCGAGGACGATGCACCTTGCCATGGCCCTCGCCCTCGTCCTCTGAAAGCTCTAGTTTGGTTTTGGTGAATTGATAAAACCCTTAGTGCTAACCTAGTTTATTAAAGTGATTACGAGATAGGCAGCACTACTCCAAGTGATGAAGAAAATGAAGATCATGACATGATGATGATGGCGGCATGGTGATGATCAAGTGCTTGGACTTGGAAAAGAAGTAAAAGAAATGCAAAAGGCTCAAGGCAAAGGTATAAATGGTAGGAGCTTTTTCGTTTCAGTGATCAAGACACTTAGAGAGTGTGATCACATTTAGGATTGATAGCCGTACTATTAAGAGGGGTGAAACTCGTATCGAAATGCGGTTATCAAAGTGCCACTAGATGCTCTAACTCATTGCATATGCATTTAGGATCTAGTGGAGTGCTAACACCCTTGAAAATATTTGTGAAAATATGCTAACACATGTGCACAAGGTGATACATTTGGTGGTTGGCACAATTGAGCAAGGGTATGAAACTTCACCGGCGGAGTGTCCGCCCATAGAGTGCGGACAGTCCGACGGTGCCACCGGCGCCCTATATAGAAAAGACAGTTTTTCACTGGAGTGATCGGATGCTGGCCTCTACTGGACTGGCGCGTCCGGTCAGTGACAGCAGTGAGCTCGCGTCTCAGTCTTGTGACCGGATGCTGGCACGAAATCTGACCGGACGCTCAGGGTCTGAGTTCGGTCAATGCTGACATACGCTGACGTGGGGCGCACAGAGGAGACATTGAGTGACCGGACGCTGGGAGAATTCGGTTGGGCATGACCGGACGCGTCCAGTCGTGAAAAGTCGTCTCTGGATGCTTACTGGAAACGACCGGACGCTGGGGTTCAGCGTCCGGTCACTTTGAGCTGCAGCGTCCGGTCGTTACTTGACCGTTGAGATTGGGCGAATAACATTTGAAGAAAGGGGACACGTGGCACGCATCGCGTGACCGGACGCTGAGGTCCAGCATCCGGTCAATATGATCGGAGCATCCGGTCACCCCGCGTTGTGCCCAGTGAAGGGGTACAATGGCTCTATTTCGTTGGTGCTTCTATTTAAGCCCCATGGTCGGCTCAAGTTCACACTCTTGGCCATTTTTATTGACATAGCAACCTTGTAAGCTCAACCAAAGCCCTCCAACTTATCTCCATCTTTGATTCATCATCTTTGTGAGATTGGAAGAGAATACTAGTGCATTGCTTGAGTGATTGCATCTAGAGGCACTTGGTATTCGTGTTTCGCTGCGGGATTCACTTGTTGCTCTTGGTGGTTGCCACCACCTAGAAGGCTTGGTGCAGCGGTGGAGGATTGACACAAGTTGGTGATTGTTCGTGGCCATCTCCGGTGATTGTGAGGGGATTTATACCTTCCCCGGCGGAGCGCCGAAAGGTAACTCTAGTGGATTGCTCGTGTCATTGAGTTACCTCACTTGTCGGTAGGTTCTTGTGGTGTCCAATTGTGTGGACGAGGTTCGTGCAACACCTCTTAGCCGCCGAACCACCAAGTGTTGGTCAACACAACGGGGACGTAGCGTGGTGGCAAGCACGTGAACCTCAGGAGAAAATCGGTTGTCTCTTGCCCTTTGGTATTCTCTCGGTGATTGATTAAGTATTCATCTTGTGATTGGTTCACTCCTCTACGCGGTGGTATAATCACCCTACTCACTCATTTATATTCTTGCAAATTAGTTGTAGCAAGCTCTTTAGTTTTATTAGATTTGAGAGCTTGCTTTGTTGTTTTAAGTTCATCTAGTGGAGCTCTTTAGTGTAGCAAGTGTGAGAGCTCTTAGTGAGTAGTAACATAGCAAATTGTGTGTCTAGTGATCATAACAACTAAAATTATTGGATAGGTGGCTTGCAACCCTTGTAGAGCTAGAGCAAGTTTGCATTTAGCTATTTGTTATACTAATCAAATTGCTCTAGTCGGTTTGTAGATTTTTAAATAGGCTATTCACCCCTCCTCTAGCCATATTAGGACCTTTCAAGTGGTATCGGAGCCGTGGTCACCGTTTAATTGAAGGCTTAAGAACCTTAGTGTCAAATTATGGCTCAAGTTGTGTTCAATCATGTGGGGGGCAAACCACCATTCTTTGATGGCACGTGCTATGATTATTGGAAGAGAAAGATGAGGATGTGTTTTGGTTCAATCAACGATCAAGTATGGGATGTGACCGAGAATGACTATGCTATCATTGATCTCGACAATCTCACCAACCTTGACAAGACCAACAAGCAATGCAATACAATGGCCCTCAACACCATATACAATGCCATCGATTCCAAGGTGTTTGAGCAAATCAAGGATTGTGAAAGAGCTAATAAGGTATGGAGGAGATTGGAGGAAACATATGAGGACACACCGGCGGTGAAGAGTGCCAAGTTGTACATCCTTAAGGATAAGTTGACAAGCTTTAAGATGAAGGATGATGAGAGCATTCCGGAGATGTTCCATTGATTGCAAGTGATTGTCAATGATTTAAAGGCATTGAGAGAGAAGATCAAGGATCATGATGTCTCTCATCGGTTCTTAATGTGCCTACCTCCAAGATTTAAGATGTTGAGATTGCTTATCATAAGAGGAGGATTAAAGGAAATTACCCCTAACCAAGTACTAGGTGATGTCATGACACAAGAGACATACCGTGTGGAAAGGGAGGGGGTTGACAAGGATGACAAGAAGGAAGATGAAGACAAGAAGAAGAAGAATGTAGCATTCAAGGCTAGCTCATCATCGAAGAACAAGGGCAAGTCCAAGAAAGAATCAAGTGATGATGAGGATCTTAGTGACATTGATGTTGAAGCCATGACTCTATTTGTGCGTAAGATGAGCAAATTCATGAAGAACAAGGGCTATGGTGCAAGAAAGAGAAGAGATCACACCAAAAACAAAGAATATGTGAGAAGATGCTACAATTGCAAGAGCCCTGATCACGTTGTAGCGGATTGTTCCTACAATAGTGACAATGATGATGATGAGAAGAAGAAGCACAAGAAGGATAAGAAAGAAAAGAAGGAGAAGAAGGAGAAAAAGATGGCCTTACAAAAGAAGAAAAAGGGTGGAGGCTATGTGGTCACTTGGGATAGTGATGACTCTAGTGATAATGGCAAGAAATCTATCAAGAAAGCACTAGCAAGCATCATCATCAACAACAAGCCCTCCATTTTCGACACTCCATCGACATGTCTCATGGCAAAGCCTACCAAGGTAAAATATGATGTGAGTGATGATGATCAATGTGAAAGTGATACTTGTAGGAGTGATGATGATGAGTACTCCAAGGAGGAGCTTATGGACATGTGTGAGCAAGTGCATACTTGCTTTGAGATGAAGAGAAAGGAGTGCAAGGAATTGAACAAGAAAGTCAAATTTCTTAAACAATCCCTTGATGAGCTCAATGCCACTCATGAGAGGCTAATGGAAGCCTATGAGAAGCTTGGCAAAGCTCACTCTAAGCTTGAAAAGGCTCACTCCTCTCTCATCGAGCAAGTCAAAATGGAGGAAGCCAAAAAGGAGCAAGTGATTGTATCATGTGATGTGGGACTAACATGT